GTTTTGTGGGAACAGGGACGCTGAACTGCTCCGAATCACTGACGCTACAAAGCATGTTCAGAAAACAGCAGAGCTTTCCACTGGTACAGATGTGAAGCCAAGAATGCCTGCTGCATCCTTAGCTGCCGGCTCTTATTTTTTCCACGGTTATTTGTCTTTCATGGGACAGCTTCCATCCTCACCCTAAAGTATTAAATGAAAGTACTTATTTTTCACATGTAAAGAAGTCTGCCTCTTACATTTTAGTGTAACAGAAGTTCTCTTGTGCTTCAGCAAATAATCTCTCTCAAAATGTGAATTGAAACAAATGAACTAATAACTATATTTCATTAATGGTATTTACCCTGTGAAGCAGACTGAGCTAAAAGCATATCTGATTGCTTCCAAATTCCCTAGAATTCAGTCTCTAAATTTCCCTCCGGGATGTGATTCCCATTCTTCTCTCAATTAGCAAAATAAACAGTGCTATGATAAATATCATTATTTACTCCTTGTTTTTTTTTTTTTTTTTCTTTTTTAGGTCCCAGAGGCAATAAAGTGAAAACACGCTGTGATTTATTTGGGGTACTCTGAATGGTATGTTCTGTGTCAGCAGGCAAGGAAGTAATAGGATCAGGAGAGCAGAGCAGAAATGCAATCACGTCACACTAAATAATCACAAGGCTTTTAGTTTGGGTGGTGTCTTTTAAGGAGAAAAAGGTAGATAAACATGCTCAGCACAGTAGTGTCAGGGAACGAGGCACAGAGGGAAAACACACAGCACACCATCCTATACAAGCACTTCTTGAATCATCTCTACGAGGGGGTGGGGGCCGGAAGACCGACACATCTCATTTATTTTTATGAAATGAGCATGAATCACTCACTGCCATCCCATGTTAAAAAAGCCCTTGAATAGTAGGTGCGGTTTAATTTAAAGAATATTTTTAAAAACATATTCCACAAAGCAAATATTCCCTCCAGTCTGGCTGAGAGGAAAAACTTCTATAATAAAAAAAATTACATATCTTTTTTTCAAGATATGGCAAGTAAGACACAGCAGAATGCACTCCTGTTCCCTACAAGGTTGTAGGCTATTAGGCGAAATAATGAGTAAAGCTGAAAGTTTCAGCAAATAGCATTCTTCTTTTACCTCCTGGAGCTAGATGTTTTACATCAGAGCCAGGTCTGGATCAAACAGTTTAGATGAAAAAAGAGCTGGCCCCGACCTCCAAACAGGAGCCCGTGTTTCTTGAGGACTTTGAAAAAATACAGTTAACTGTTTTGTTTCATTTTAATTTTCACAAATCTGTCTTACTGAAGTTTGAAGAGAGAAAGCTATTTCTGCAGTGTTTATGTCTTGGGTAGAAGAGAGAGATCCATTTTCAAATGAAAGCCCTTAATGCCCCTCAAAATGGACTTTTTTAATTACAGAAATCAGGAAAAACAGATCTTAACTGTCAAGTACAAACTCAAGCATTTTATTTTTTTTTAAATGTATTGTATTTTAATATGCTGAATTAGCATGCTTAACCTTTAACTAACAAAATCCATGGAATAACAATAAAAACATGCCTTCCTACATGCCTACACACAAAGACTCTACCTCGACATCTGCCAGCACTGCCCAACCCTTCGTGCTGTCTCCAGCAGGCCGGGGCTCCTTGCAGACGGGCACAAGTCCAAAGATAGGAGGAAACCTGCAGCGTGACCATGTTCAGAGGCCAGATACGCATTTCTAAGCACAAAGATGCGCCCTATACAACATAAACATCAGTTCCTAAGAACCAAGATGTTGCTAACGAATGCCCACTTCAAAACGAGATGTAAAGCACTCTTAGATACTACCACCTCTAGTGGCACTCTCGCATTCAAAGTCTGACAACAAATTTCCTGTGATGAAGGGCGAGAACTTTTTGTGCAAAAGGAAGAAACATTACCAAAATTAAGGAACCGATTATCACTAAAAACACACAAAAGACCAGTTTTTCAGGATCTGGGGGGGGTTGGCGTTCACAGAAGTGGTGTCATAGAGTATAAACTATAGGATATGAACTGAGAAATATGAATAGAGAAGAAGGCTGCGTGTGAAGAACAGGTATCTATCCTGAAGTAAAAGTACTACTATATCTATCAGAGCAGGCCACTGCAGTATAACAGTAATATCTCAATCAGCCAGTGATAAGCAGTTAGGGGTAGGAAGCCTTACAACAGCATTCAGCTTTCAAGTCACTGCAAGTCAAAACTTCAAGTTACAGAGAAGTACTGCCACAAAATGTCAGACTACATGAGGAACACTTCTCATGGTACACTACTTGTACTAAGTACACCTAGACTTGTTAGATCCATCACTACTGTAAGAAACAACACACAGAGCCCAAAGTCTAGTCAACAAGTTACAGGATGGCAAAAAACTCTTCTTTTTTTCTCTTGCTGCCAGTTGTCTGCCTGCTCAATTGTATTAACAGAGGGTGGACACACATCCCCAGTCACAATTTGCTGGCACAAGTGACATCACGTAAAGCTGCCTAGAACACCTCTTTCAGGCTTTTCCAACCTTACACTCAAAGGAAACGGCTCAGAACCCAACACGCAGGCAGAGAGAGCATTTATTTCATGAATTCCTGTTTAGCCCATGACAGTATTTGCGTGTGTTGTTCCCAAGTGAAATGATGAAGGTACTGAGTGACTAAAACCAGATTTCTTAACTTTCTTTAAACATACTGGGAAGTGGAAAACTTCAAGAGGTATCTGCAAGTACAAGCAAGGTCAAAAGAGATAGTGTCAGGGTGGGTCTAAGACAGTGTTTGAGGACATCTGATGGAGGACAAATAGTCCTCCCTCTCAGGTATGAAACGTACCTGCCAAACCAGAGAATAAAAGAATGCCGCTGAAATGTGAGACGTACCACAGAGAAAGAAAGTTTGTTCAATTACACTACAAAAATAAATAGTATCGCAAAGTCAACGTAGACTGAAGTTAATAGAGACGGCTTATATCAGGCCTGGCATTCAGTGCAGAATGGACATAGGGAACATTTCTTAAAAACATGAATGTAAACACAAACTTTTATCAGAAATATAAAACACAAGGACAAAGTTTTGCCAAGGTCATAGAGAAAACGATTTGCATTACTCAGATTTGGTCTGACTTCCAGCAGCCAAGGAGAATAGCACTTTGTTCCAAAAAAACCATTGTCTTTAAAAAAATGAAACCAAATGCCACCTATAAATACTGGGCTTAGCACAACAGAATTCACCTTTCTGTAGGAGCCACTTCCACACTGCAGCATACAAATAATCAATACTGCATATTCCTGGAGGAAAATTGTGCTTTGTTTCCGACAGCCCTTCATGTGACCAGTACATTTGGTAATCTCAAGCTGCCTCATACCTATAGCCTCCTTGAAACAGAGAAGTATTGCCCAGATATTAACAGATTCCTCCCCTCCCCACCAAAAAAAATCAGGTTTTGAAGCCAATACAGTAATACTAAGCAAATACTCTGCATGATATTCACGAGAAAGGCAGCTAACAAAGACGGACTTCTGAGGAACGCCATCGGCAGGGGGAGAGGGAATCAAAACTCTCAGCTGAATTTCCCTTCTTTCCCTGCATTAGGAGAGAGAAAAGGAAACTCTCGACGCATTCAACCAAACTTTGATTTTAGCTCTTCAGACATTTCCTGCTGCAGAACAACAAAACAGGACTGAGTTTTGTTTTCATAGCAAGTGTTTTTTGCTTTTTCCTGCACTTTTGACACATTAAAAAAGTAAATAAAAACATCTGGACATACAGAATCTAACTATTCGCTGATTTTTCAGACTTGACAATTGAGAGCGTAAATGTAATCAGACACCATTTACAATGTTAATGCTTAAGTCTGGCCTTTTTGATCTCATTTTCTAAGAAAACGGGCTTCTGTGATTGCACTGTTGGCATGTCCACTTGGTAATTCTGACCATTTTATCCCTTAATTGCTTCCCACCTCTGTACTCCAACAGTTTTTAAACCACGGCTTCACGTCAGTTAGTGGCCAACGGAGAAAACAGGCCAGGTTCCTGCTTCACTCAGGGCAAAAGGGAGGTAAAATTCAGCTTCCCCATATTTTGAGGGACGGGGCTAGCCTGTCAAACAGCACGTGAGTCCCCGAGCCAGCTGCCCCAGCGCAGCCTCTTCCGCAGGACAAAAGACAGCAGATGGGATCGACGCGCAGCAGGGGCATTGCGCTGCCGGGGTGGATGTTCGGGCTACCACAGAGAAGCAATTATCTATTGTATAATGGACACGGGATGCACTGGGATGGGACTGCGGACGCAGAGCATAAATCCTAGGCTACATTTCACTGTTCACAGAATCCCTACAATTTATGAGAATTCTTAGGGGCACGGATACTTTCAAATCAAGAATGTAGGAGCAGAAGAGAATAAGATGGTTTCTGAGAGAACCCCAGAAACACAGGGAGAAAGATATGAGTTCTGGGATAGCAGTGTTTTTCCTATTGAAGATTGAGTTTCGGTTAGCTCTTACGGGGAAAATGACTTTCACATTTCTTTATCTTTGCTGCAGAACAAGAACTCAAGAACATCTAGGGTGTTAATGGGTACATGCTATTTTTCTACGACCAGTTAATAATGCCTGCACAGCTGACATGGACTGGAAGTCAAAGGTAACACACCCAACTACAAAACATGATGCGACTAATCATATTTCTTCCATTGTGACAAGTTCTGAACACAGTTTGAAAATGACAAGCGCTTTAAGAAGTGACCCAACATCATTTAAAACCAACCTTCTAAAAATGGTGCTAGAGCAGTATTTGTAGCCCAAGAAGCTATCTTAAAAAGGATTTCTGCTGCTTTTTAAATACTGCACGTAATCAGGAATGCAAAACAACGCAGGGGAACACAGCATTAGCAAAGTCACTACTTCTGTCCCCCGGCCAGTCAGGACTCAATCTAGCTTTACGAACAGTTTGCACAGAAGACAAATGAATGTGATCATCACATTCAGCATGCTTACCTCCCATCCAAAGTTTGTCTCCTTTAATGTGCTCCTCTGTACTGTCATATAGGGTCCAAATCTCTCCCCAACTTCAATCTTCTTTTTGGCCCAAATCCCTAGCCCTGCCCCTGGAATCGAAGATTCTCTGAGTTCAAAATCTGGTGGGATTGGAATGTCATCAGGAATGTAGACGGGAGCTTCATAAGGTGAGCCCTCCTTGGGAGTGAAGTCCTCACTGGTGGGAAAGGGTGATGGAGGTCCGACAGGAATGGGGGACATAATACTGTCCTCTGTTTCCTCCTCTGCACTTTCGCCAGCAAGGAGATCAGGGTCGGTCTCGTACATATTATTTACAATCTCGCTGTCACCTAAAAGGGGAAACAGCAGAACAAAACACACTGAAATACTCACGTGAACATTAGTTAATCTCTTCTTGGGACAAAGTTTCAGAACGGCTGGTTTGCATGCTTTAAGGACAGAAGTAGTGGCAGAAAAAGAGATAATCCTCACCTACAGAACTCGGGTAGAACTGAGGTAAGAATACTCATACTGGCTGCACAATATTCAGTGCTACTGAAGGATGAGGTGGAAGCTACCTGCAGGCCTGTCACGTTATACGGGATCAGGGTTACTGGAGCGGTTGTCTTCAATAACGGAAAGAGGGAAGAAAACCCAGAAGAGGTGCTTGAGGCTCCCTCTGACCATTTATTAACTGGCTCAGTATATTTTGTAGAGGAAATAAAAGAGAAATTAAGGTAAAAGCCGACCTAAGTTTGGCAGGAACTGCTTGCCTAGTCTTTGGGCTTCTTGGGTTCAATGCGCCACACAACGGAAGCCATGGCTGACGGGACCTTCCAGCTCCATCTCAGCATTGTACCTCTTCAGGTGTAACAACAGCATCACCAGTTTGTAACACTACCTTAAGACTAGTGGGTCCTACATCCTTAACTAGTGAGCATTTTAAGCTACGCGCTCAACCACAGCACAGCTTTCGTTCCACTGAACTCCACGGGACGGGGAGCTGGTTTGCAATAGTGCTACAATGGTCAGAGAAAAGCAGGGAAAAGCTGTACACGTTCTTCTGCTCCACACAACATCTCATAAACCAGACAGAGTAACCCAAGTAGTATTATAGCGTTATTCTTTAAAAAGAAACCCAAGCACTTAAAAAACACAGGCCTAAAATGCTTATTTAATTTCATACTATTCAGGATGTAAGAATTCTGAAGGCGAGTCACGATTTCTTTTTCCTTTTATAAAATAATGATTTATGCGGCCTTTCCACAAAAGCATCAGCAGAACTGCAGCTGTTTTTCCTATGCCTCAACTTCTTCAGTTGTATAAGGTAGTAGGAAAAAAACCCACAAACACCTAAGAAGATTTGAATGGGATCTATGTAGAATAAAGGCAAAATTTTAAGTAGGAGGAGTTAAAGTTACTAGCCAGAACTGGTAACTGCATCCAGTTAGAAATATCATGTCACATCTTTCAGGCTTAGCATCTTCAGTATAATCACAGCACTGTTCAGCTCAGTGCCTACAAAAGACTGGGAATCAAATTAGTCTGGAGGATAGGAAGGGAGCATGAGTGCGTGCGTGTGTGTTTGGGGAAAACAAACAGCCTCTCCACCCCCCCAGTAAATACCCTTAATCCTGCAAGGATTTTTAAGCTTCATTTTCCAGCAACAAATTATTACACTTCAGAGAATTACAAGTCAATTCCATTATTAAACCTGTAACAACACGCATCCATTTTCTGGTTTGATATTGGCTTGTACAAGCTAAAAATATTCTTCAAACACCCCCTCCTCTTCCATCACTTGCCAAAAACAAATAATCTGAGACATGTTTACCAGAATGCACTGAAAGAAAACTAAATAAGAAAAAAGGCTGTGAGCACAGAAAGAACTTCACTAAAAAGTTTTCAGAAAAACACTTTCAACCGGAAAATGTTAGTCTGCTGAATCCAAAATGCTCCATTCAGACACGCATTTCAGGGATTTCACGGCAGAACTCTGCTAGCTGGCTGCAGCTCTGCTAAGGAACTGCCGCATTTCCTCCAAATTCATTGCTGGATCAGCCGAAGAGGCCCGTCTCCCAAGGCAGCCTCGCCGTAAGGACTCGCAGGGCTTCCCCCAGCTACCCCCTGCTGCGCAGATGGGGGTCTACAAGCCCCCCTGACCTGCAGTTCTAGCAGAGACTCGGCCACATTTCCACACCAGGAGCCCAGGCAACACAGCTGGAGCTCCTGTGACGCTTCCCTCTCCATCATGGGGCCAGTAAATGCAGGGGGTCATAGCTGAGCGCATGGCAGATCTCAGCACCCAAGGACACATTTCATTTTTCTATTTTCAGAACCAAACACCCCAATCATTTCAAATTAATTGTCCCCTTTCCTCCTTTGCTTTCCTGATCATATAAAATTTTGAAATTTAACTCTTTTGATTATAAAATTAATATGATTTTCAAATTTTTTTTTATTATTTTATTTTTTTTTTTTTA